GCGACGAAAGCACGAAGCGTTCGCCAAAGCGGAACGCGCTCGCGAAACGAATCGGATCACCCTATTCATCGGCGCAGCATTGACGAAAATAATCGGAACGAACGGCCGCCCCTTTAGAATTCATATATACGCTCTCTTTCATCCGGGTGTGCGCGCGCGTATACCCAATTCTTTTTTTTCTTTTTTTTTTTTTCACAACATTGGCAGACGCTTTATTTTTTTGCAGTTGCCGCCGCGCCACTTTATGAATAAAAAACATACTTTTGTCCATGAACACCTCTGTGTATTTCCTGTGGAAATATTTTTCAATCATGGGCGCAATTTCACACATCCCCCGTCTATAACTAGCCGTCTAATCGGTCTGTTTTCATACATCGAAAATTAAAAAATCGCCATGACAAAACTTTATCGTACCATATTGCATACCATGCATACCGATGACTCGATGACCGAAGTAAATACGATGACAAAAGTGAAATTGCGATGGTAATTTAGAATGGTTCGTTAAGCTAATCTCGATAGAAGTACACAATAAAAGCTTGTGCGATGATGTCAAAATATATGCATGAGACATTACCGTACATAAATTATTCATAAGAGAAACTAAAGTATTATATATATATATGTATATTTTACATATCATTTTTGATCATATTATATCCTTGCATATGTATTTAATTACAATTAACTTTTCATTACAAGTAACTTTCGTGACAATCCAGCGAGTAATGTCATAATATATCGGCAGCTAGAAAATTTTATCTACAGAGAATCAAGCAAAAAATATTATTTATATTCTCAATATCGCGCTCTGTTGTGCGGCGAACCGATGGCTTATAGCGATTTTGATTTAAATTTCTTATACCGTAGTCACATATTTTATATCACTGTGAAAGGTCGGTTTATCAGAGCGAAACTTCGCGTGGGCGATGGGTAATGTAAAGTTCGTGCCCGAAATCAAATCCCGCATGCCGTTATGGCGCTCTCGTTCGCCGTTAGCACATTGATACGGCTTCATTTGCGCACCAGCACGCGAACCGCAGTAAAATTTTTTTATGGCCACGCCGGGAGCGAAAGGCGGAAGTAACTTTTTGGCGACTCAAATTAACCAGCGTAACTGCGGGCACGACAATTACCACCCGATGGCTCGGTCGTCCGTTACTGTCCGTCCCCTCCTCCCTTTTTTCCCCCTTTTCGCACACCGCCCATACCTAGCTCGGTATTATTAAGCACGAAAAACAGTTTCGGACTTCCGATGCCCACACCGACGCCGCACTCTCGATGCTGATGATGTCCCCGAAATCAAGAGCCTTTATAAACAATAAATCTGACCAGTCCCGCGTTGGTACGCAAAGTACTCGAGCTCGCGAATGAAATGCCCGTGCTGATGAACTGTATGTGTACGAGCAAGCAAAATTGTGGAATGAAAATGTAAAATAATGCAAATTGCAAAAAGGTAATTTTTACACGTATCAAAAGAATCCCGATAATAAAAAAATATAAAAAAATAATAAAATTAAGAATAAAATAGAAACAGATAATAACGCTGTGACAATAATAAAATTCATTTATATATGAAAAAACATTATACAAAAAGAAATTTGAACGAAAGCGGGTACATTTTCCAATTAATAGACTTAATTATTTAATTCTTAATTAACAGTTATTTGTAAAATAAAACTTTATATGAAAGCGTGTATGTGTTATGAACATCAGAGAAGAGATGCTTGTGAAAGTTAAATTTTGACATTGTATGAAAATCTTTTATCGCGTACGCCAAAGAAGCAGTGTTTACTTTCAAAATTCAACTCCAAAATTATATTGAATATATATACTTTGTTATAATAACTCCACGTGCTGGTATTTTACGGAAACTTTCGCGTACAATCGGCTGATGAGGGCAGGTGAGCTCTGCGATAATTATATGCAACGTAGTCGACCACAAAGTGTACGGAGCACGTTTCAAGTAAGTCGATCGATTTAAGACACGTAACGTACATGGGAAGCACATTTTGTGAAATACACAGGATGGCTCACTAAAAATAGGACATCACAACAATATCTCTCCCTTCGTCTTATATATTTTATTAGACGAAAAAAAAACCATAATGCGAAATCAATTTATTTTTTCGTGGCTTTTTCTCAGAATTATATGGATATTTCCAGAGGATTGCGCGCGCTGTATCGTCATAACCGTAAATATCTCTGCTGGCATTCATAATTCTGAGAAAATTATGTCCTGCCTTAGTAATTGGAAAAAGGAGAAAGGGGAGACTATATATTAATGACGCAACATTACGGGCGTTAATCGTTCCGGGCTACCGGGTTCACTAATGCGAGATCTATTTCTATATTGATCCTGATCTCTCGTCGTGCTAGCGAGTGAAACAAATTTAATCATCATCATTTGTCTGCTGTCGGATCGAAACTCGTTTACTTTATAGAAACGAAGCAAATAAAATGCGTGAAAAAAGATTGTATGCGCGGCTCGGAATGATCTTGCGCGCGCGAGCGTCTTGCTTTTAGTTAAACGTGGTGGATAATTAAAGAAAAGAAAAAGAGAGAGAGAGAGAGAGAGAGGTGAGTGGCCGACAGGAAGTCAGACGTGAAAGCGCGTGCGAGTCGGATAATAAATTGAGTTTTACCGGAGGGATCGGTTTCATTAAAGCACGATAATTCTCGTCTTAGTATAGAGCAGCCGCGGCAGTTTCTCCGCGGAAATAAATAACGGCAGTAGTGCAGGTGCGCCACTGTCAGACCTGTCGCGGATTAATGGTGCGCCGAGATGCGCCGCGTCGCGCGTTGCATCGTTCTCGACTACTGGAACGGGCGTCTTTACGGAAGGGACTTCGCCTTTAAAAAGAAGGTCGCAACCGAGATCGACGCGAGTGCATCATGTTCCTCCTCCTTAAGGAGACGGGGAGGCAATCGAGATACGTAACGTATTACACGGCGGACTATGATAGTACAAAGCGGCAAATGCTACAAAGGCTAATACCGATAAATGATGCTTCCCCGCATACCATTTGTCAGGATTACGGAAATGTAGAGCGAAGAGGAAGGGAGATAGGAAACCATCCTCGAGAAAGAAAGGGAAGGAAACAGGAACCCGTAGAGTCGGTATCAGTAACAACGAATCTAAAAACGAATCTAAAAGTAAGAAAGTTTCACACGTCTATTATACTTGTTTGATTTACGCGATTCTGCTACATTCATAATATGATGATAATTATGATGATGATGTGTATAATATTGTATTCATGATGCATTTGCATCCGAAGAAATATTCTAAGTTAGAAGTTACAAATTAAATGTAATATAAAAAGTCAAAAATACATTTATTGATTTGTCGTTCATTATTTAAATTAAACAGTTTTAAGAAATCTGATCTTAATTGCAGTCAATCGAACAACACTGTGTAAATTGAGAATGCTATAAATTAATGAAGTAATTATCGGAAATTAAGACATGACAAATGGAATAGAATGTTTTAAAATATTTAAAAATTTTATACTATTTTAACGATCTATTAATTGATCTGTGTCGCATATTAACAATAATGAAATTTTTCCAGAAAATCGATGCCGTGCGAATTCAATTTACGAATTCATTTCTTGTTTTGGTATAAATAATGAATACGTGATAAAAAAAGGAAAGTGGTATCACTCTTTTCATAAAATTATATAGAATATATGTATATATGTACACAAT